GGTGCGGTGGCCTGTGCCAAGGCTGCGGCCAGCGGCGCTGCCTCAGGAGGCGGCCAGCATAAGGGCAGCCGCGGTAACGTGTTTACGCCAATCCTGGCCGACGAGTGTACTCGAAGCTCGGAAAATACAGGTGTGAGAGAACGGGATTAAATCCCTCCTCTTGTCTTTTTTTTGACCCAAGAGGTAACTGCTGCGTAGGCGCTTTTTCGCGGGGGCGAGAGGTTTAAACAAATACATAGGTTTTAGTAGTCAGCTACTTTTTGTTCCTGCATTGATGCCTCTCTCTGTCGCCAACTACTGTGACTTTTTTTGTCCCTCTTTCCTAAACACCTAAACGTTGACGAAACAAAGAACTAGTAAATGCTACTTCTAACTTGCCACTGCTTGGTTTGGTGGCCGCTCTTGTACTATTCGATTATAAGTCTCCTACAGGGACAACGACGTTCTATCTGCTTGTAGAGAGCTGTAGCCCGATTCACGATGACATTTTACGTTTAAAGGAAGACATTGATTTCTAAGCAAAGACCTTTAACTCCATGTTTAGCCTAGAGTTAGTTTTGATACCTTAATTCTAAAGCTGTGGTAACAAGAATTAGCCTTCTAGTAATAATAAATGAGCTCTGGTATGCAAATTAGTGCATTCCTTGAAAGGCAGGAAAAACCCCTGTAAAGCTTGGGAACTCTGTAGATGTTTATTCTTATAAGTAATGTCAAGTTCCACTTCTTGTTTTAGACAAGGACTTCCAAAACACGCCTTGCGGCATCATCCACTGCCAGAACCTCGAGCTGAGGTGTGCCCAGCCACACCCGCGGCTGAAAACTATGGCGAGATCTCAAGGTACTTGTCATAACATAAAATGAATCTTTGTTTGGAGACAATGGCAAAACCAGGCACCTTTGTGTTGAGTTACCTTTACAGAAGTAATACAGTTGGTAGGCTTAGGCTTTACCTCAGGTCTGTATCATTTCAGAACATGTCCTTCCTATTTTGGGAATAGTAAAAAGTGTGTAGCTGTGTTCTGTTCCCAGCTCGCCTGGGTCATCTAATTTTATGGCAGAAACAAGAGGAGAAAAGATAAAAATAATTCCTGAGTGGTGTAGAACCGGGACTAGAAATAGTCTGCAGCTTAACTAAGATAATTTTTGGAAAAGCTATGTTTTGCTTGACCTCTAGACTCCCTATGTCATTGAGATTATTAGGAGTTACAGTTGTTATAATTACTTGTGGCTTCTGCTTAAATGCCTCTAAAGTAAATATTTACCCTATGAAAACTCTGTCATTCCTAAGACCTCTTCTGATATAGTTATGCTTTTTTGTACAGAAATAAAAGTTTACTTACCCACTTTATTTGTCATTGTGTATTGTTGGGTTTTTTTTCTTCCTTTTTTTCCTCAACATGTGCATTTCAGGGAGTCTGAAATCTGGAAGGAATCAGATTATCCTTCTGTTACTCCAGCTGATCATGGGAATTCATGGTCTGCTAGTCAGAGTTACGCCGACACCTCCACCGAAGACAGCTCAGTCTTCTCTTGGGGCTATGATGTGAGTAGAATATCATCCAAACCAGATGTAGCACAGTGAGTAGAAAGATATTTGAAATACCATTGCAAATACATTTCAGGATAAAAATGAGGATTGGATCTGTCAATAAATCATTCTACTGGTTATAAAAAGAATATCTTTTCTACCTCTTCCCCATCTTTCCTTTCTCTCACATCAAAACATATTAGGCTCATATTATTCAATTAATAGTCTGCATTTCCATCTAAAACTTTGGAAATGCGAATCATTTAATGCTTAAGTGTATCTATACAACATAATAAATGTTGTTGTGGAATCCCAGACATGAGTAGATGACTTTCAGATATTTGGTGTGAGTTCATCAAACTTCTGCATACTTGTACGTTTCTCAAAATATAGTAAGCCCCTAAAACATTATTTTCATTTAGAAATATTTGTTTTATTCCCCATCTACCAAAACAAAGTGTGCTATTGCTTTCTGTGAGGTGAGATGGAACTGTGTAGATTTAAATTACCCAAGAACCGACCCCATTTTCTAGCTACACGAGGACATGTAACAAAGGTCCTGAACATCCTTCGCTTTCAGTGTTTCACACCAGTCTGCATTGCTTTTTGTTTTGCTGTTGTCTATGGACATTGCAAGCAACAAATTTTCCATTTCATTAAAATGTTGCTGAATGTTAGCCTTCCTGTTCTGATTTCCTTTATGTAAATTACTCTATCTTTAACTTCATTTAATAATACAGATATTTCAAAACGTTTTAATAGTTTTTCTGTTGTGTCAATGTAAGCTTTTTATGCAGCTACCATCAGTCCTAATAGCAGTCCGCATCATCTCCAGGGGAAATGATTTAAAGTTAATGTCTTTCTATGCAAAAGAAATGGAACTGTTTAAATCAGTCCCGCTAAGCTTTAAACAAATACTTGTCTTTTTCAATTATAGAAAAATTCAGTTAAAAAACCTCTCTGAATGCTATTCACCAGGTATTTGTTGGATAACTTTCCTGTCTAGGAATTTGATAAAGCTGCCACACAACAAGTTCAGCAAATGTTCAGGCAAATTGATGAGCTTCTCTATGAGCAGAAAGAAAATGTGCATGTTGAGGGACTGCGGGAAGAATGCCACCAGTGGACATCCAACTTTCCTCATCTCAGGTATTTTATTAATAGACTAATGCTAGTACCATCACAGAGTTATAAAAGGGTAGGGATGGAAGCAGTTGCTTTTAAAGCAACGTTAGTAGTGGGGTGGTTTTATGCAATTATATAGTACATGGAGATAAAAAGATCACTCTGGTAGTCTGCCTGCCATTGTCATAATAAACATTCTGCTGTCTCACATTTGGTTCCTTGCCAGAGGATTATTGCTATTTGCAACTGACTTGGCTTTAACATAGCAAAATTCTCGTAGAAAAGATGTATGGTATAGCTAAAAGCCAAGTGCTTAAAATAATTTAAAAATCCTCCTACCCTAGTTCAGCAGTCCTTATGGCTATCTGTAAACTTAAATTTTAAAACTTCATTACATGTACTTGAACAGTTTTGTCCATATTCAAAAGTCTTACAATTAGCGGAGCGTGAAAAACCAAGCAAAATTTTCTTAATTTATTTACCTGTCTTGAAGCAATCTGTACTAGGCAAAACAACTGAAACCACATTTAACTATCACCAAGAAAACCGCGTAGCTTCCCAATAGAATTTTTAGGATTTGCTGCTCTGTGTTCTTACACACTTCAATAATCTTACTTTCAACATTTTCTGATTCATTTATCCTTTGCTTTTGCCATGGCAGGGTTGTGGGGAAGCAGATAATGATCCCCACAGATGAAGGGTATGGATGGTATTCAAGTTCACCTTCTGGCTGTTTAGGTTCCTCAGATGTAAGTTCACCACGAGAAAAAGATTCTAATGAGTAAGTACCAGTGGTTAACCCAGACTGTACCAAGGTGGGAAGGTAATTTTGTTCTCAGTGGACTGCAGTGATAGGCTTCTTAAAATGTGAAGCCTAATTCCTTTCTTTTAGGCTGAGTTTTGAACACAGCACGCTTTTTTTTTTCTTTTTAACTAAAAGTAGTACATTCAGAATAGCAAGACTATGTAGCTGTGCTTGTTGCTAACTACAGTAAACTGGTCAGTAAATAGAAATACCTTTGCTGCTGCTGACTTCTTAAGAATATGCACGTATTGTAGCTGGTTTTATTGTTATTCATCTATTAAATTTGTACAGAACTTCAAAAATACAAAGCACTACATTAGTACTACTTTATGTTATTGAATGTTTTAGAATGTTTTTTAATTAGCTTTGAATTTTTTTTCTAAGTTTCATGTTCCTTAGCAAGAATTAAAAATATCCAAACCGAAAGAGTTTTTACTGTAATGCATAATTTGTTGGCCTCCCTAGTGCTTGGCTTTAACTACTGTGCTGTCTCTCAGCCTCTCAGCTCACCAAATGCTGCTATTTGAAGTGGAATAACAACTTATTTTCATTTCTGCTTTCTGAAAACTGTCACCTGTTCAGATTTAGTGTTTTTGGCAAGAAGGTACCTCTTTCTGTTACTCCTGTTCACAAAAAGGCTGACCGTTCCAAGTCTCCGACCTTGTGTTCTCCAGAGAGCGAAGAGGATGAAGATGGAGTAATTGTCTCTGAAGGCGTAATGGAGGAATATTTAGCATTTGACCGCAGAGATGTGTAGGTATTGAATGTTAAGATAGCAATTAGCACCAGTGTCCTGGAAATCCTGCTGTTAAGATGTGTATTTTTTCGTTTTGATGTTAGCCGATAAAGTATTTGATGAATTTTTTTTTTTTTATATCTTTGCTCTAGAGAACGTTCAAAAGCCTGAGGGTGTTAGGGCACTGGGAATTCTCCCAATCCATTTCCTAGAACAATTTATTTTGCTAAATTATTTTTCTGAATTTTTTGTAATTTTTCATACTAGCCATTTTTGTACCTGGTTTAAATAGTTCATTCCATCATAACTAAGAGCCTGCTATGTGTTGACATATTTAATAAAACCTGTTTAAATGCCATTTTTTTTTTTATAGTAAGTCAAATTCATTGTTGTTTGTTATGCACTAGCAGTCGGCTGCTTTGGTTTTGTACTAGCATTTTGGGTGGAATTGGGCCTTTCCAGATTTTCAGTGGTAATTTAAGAATTAGAGTGGATTTGATGCTTGCCAAGAAATAATTACCACTATTTTTATCTTAAGAAGAAAGGATTAAGGGTGGCATAAAGAGGATTCTTTTTGCCCCTTTACTTTATTCAACCCAACAATATGAACATGTGGCCTGGGTAAGGACTCTGGATGGTACTGTCAGTTGCTAACTGTTTAATTGGTTTTAATAAATAAAGCCGCTTAGCTGCATGCACCATGAGATTCAAATTGGTAGGTGGCTTGCTTTGACCAGGTCAGAGAGACATTGCTGCAGCAAACAATATTGCTGTCTCTGTAAAATAATGGTAGAAGTATTACAGCTTTTTCTGGTGGGATCTCCTTTTTTTCCAAGGTTTGTAGCTTTTTGATGTTAAGTACCAATTCAGGGAGCAGATAGGAAAGCCTTGGATCAGTAGTATTTTCTCCCGTCTATAAAGTTTCTTTTGGCAGATGAACATTTTTGAGCAGTTGTCTTACAGGTTTCACACTTTGAAATACCCTTTCCATTGTGGAATAGTCTGCAGCAAAGGCCATGTGCTGCTGTGAATTATGTTTTTTCTCCCTTTTCATTGATTACATCTAATTGTCTAAAACTGAATTAAGCCTGTGCCCTGAACACCACCTGGCTGTTAGAGCAGCAAGCTGAGAGGCATTAAACAGTCATGAATAGTAACATTCCTCTCTCTTTTCTTCAGAATTCTGTAGTGACATTAGATAAGGAGCCTAACGATGTGATGAACAAATATCACTGTAACTATTAATATTTATTTTTAAATGGAACTTTGATCTCCTTGGTAAATTACTTCTTTTTCATGAAGTATCATTTATAGTAATTCTGTATGGGGAAACCAAGGTGTGCAGTAATAAGGTGATTGTCTCAGTCATTTCTCATTTAGGTCAGTGGTAGGTTCTGGAAGAAATAAAAGTTCCAAGTGCCCAATGTACAGAAGCTTACTTCTTTCAGTATTAGACTGTTACTTGATATTGCTGTTTATTAAACTATCAGCTCTCAGAAAATAATATTGTGTGATAAATACAAAACTTCTCCTGAAGTAATGTCTTCAAGCTATTCGGCCGGCTGCCTTGACCTGTTTCAGTTTAAGAGAAAATAGAACAGAAATGCAGCCTTAGCTGACGTTTTAATCCTATTAAATAAATGCAATAAAATACAGGAGACAAAGAAAATGTGTTTATGGTACAGATAATGCTTACATTTTTTCAGGGAGGAGGAGTTGCATGAGAGGAAAATGGGACTGTCCTCTGGTAGACGGAAATTGGGGTTTCCTCCTATCTCTCCATATTCCTGCATGAAGGATTCTGTGCTCATGTTTGTGTTTGATGATGTATGGAGTGAAGTCCTAGGCTGCATGGAAGAATTAATCTGCAGACACTGGGAAGGGTCAGCCTCTGGTAAGGATCACTGACGATTCAAAAGGGGATTTCAGTTACTTAATTTTGCAAGGATGCAATGAGAGAGAGATGTATTTGGGAGTAATCTCTTCGGGGCGAGGGGGAGGGAAGTTATTTTGCTAACAGTGTGAGGCATGCCTTCAAAAGGTTTAATAGAGCTTAGCATCTAAGAGGACTCTCTTTAAAAAAACTGGATTCATAGCACTGTCCACAACTAGCAATGCCAATAGTCTGTATTTACAGGAATTCTCTGTTGCTTTGCATAGATGATGAGAAAAATATCATAACAGTAGAAACAATTGGAGCAGATGCTGGAAGCCCTTTGCAGTTTAATTCTCTGCCAGTGTTGTTACCTCGTGTGCCACAAACTAAAATGCCCTCAGTGACATCAAATCTGGTAAGTATTTTTAGCCAGCTGGTTTGTTTAGGGACAAATCAATACAGCGCTACCTAAGCAAACAGATTGAAGTATGTCAGCGGACTGTTTAGATACATAACTAGTTTGGATTTTGTATGAGTGCTGACTGTCCTTTCTAACACTTAAGTTCTGTTATTCCTCAGTTGCAAGTTTTAATTCCTACTTTTCTCTTTAAAACTTAATGTTTATATGTGTATTGGACAACCATGTGGTGCCTGTTCATTAATGATGTAGTTCTTTCTACATTTCAATAATGTTTGAACTAAATTGTGAGATCGAGGATTGCATGTGTGAGACCCTATTCTCACTAGCTTATCTGTAGCTAACTGATCAGGCAATAGAGGACAAATCTCAGTGCAGTTGTAAAACAGGATTTTTTTTCTCAGACACTGAATTTGACTGTATAACCTGCTTTAGATGATCTGCTCCTAGAGTGGTGAGCACCAAAGTGTTACCTGTTTATTCCATTTTAATTCAACTCTTTCCTTCTTATTTCTTTTTATTTCTTTCTCCTTTATTTCTACCCCTACCTCTTTCTCATGTTCCCCTTGCTGTATGTGTAGTGCCCAAAAACCAGATGTGGCCGCAAAAGCAAAAAGAGGAGAAAACCACCTCAAGTATGTATGTTGGAGAGATTAAAGCTCTGGTATTTTCTATTTGCTGTCGTTATGGTGGGTGGAATTTGATGTTTTTCCAGATCAGTCTATGTTCCAGGAAAGGAGTTTGCAGTTCTGTTCTTGACATAAAATGTCAACATAGACTGAAAATTAGTTTCATAAAGCTTCTCATTATAGCCATTGTTGGAAGATCCTGTCATGCAAATGAGAAGCTCAGTTGGAAAATATTAAGTATGACATAGCATGGTAGGATACATTTTCTAAGCACTACCATTTGCAAGAAAAATGGAATGCTAAGAAGTCTATCTTAGATGGGGAAATGATGTAACGGATTATATATATTTGGATGTCATGGAAGAAATTAATTTCTTTCCTCCAAAGTTATTTATAAGGACAAAATCTGTAAATATATGTGTATGTCTCTGCCAAACAGTAATTTACTTATTTATTTTTTAAACTTTCAGGTAAATCTCTCTCAAGGGTCAGGTAGTGGCTCTCAACATAATCTAAATGGCTTGATGGTGATACATGGGATCCAGTTACAGCAAAGGAATCTGCCTGTAATGGAGAAAACGCTGTAAGAGCTATAGATCATCTGTTGTAAAGTAGAGTACTCTCACAGTGAGAGGGATTCAACCCAAAACATTGTGCGATAACTCTCTACACTGGAGAAAGCAATTCTCAATTATTTTCCTGCTTGTTTTCTTATTTACTTGTCCTCTATGAAACAGTATACTTCTAGTACAGGTTTTCTGTTTAATTGCTGCTGGTTTACCACTTAATGCCACAGCCGTTCACTACTGTTGGCACTGACTGACACCCTGAAAGGAGATGAAGCTCAGAATGAGATGGAGAAACTGATTTGCTCAGTTCCTAGAAGTGGACTTGTGTTAAATCTAGGCTATGGGTGTGAAAACTGGTGTTTACAGTATGGTTTTTTTTTAATCTGTTCTATGATTAATTTTTACTTTTATACTGAAATCTTCAATCAGAAAGTTCATAGTTCAGTAAAAAAAAAAAAGATAGACAGCTTTTTTCTTTTCCATCCCCTCTTCTTTTCTAATTTGGCTGTAAATTACTTTATATAGTTACGTAAAAAAATGAAAACACATCATCTCTATCCACACATAATATTATTAATATCACATGTAGATGAGTACTTTGATAACAGGGTAGTTGTCAGTCATGTTGACCATATCTCTCTTGGTTTTGTAATTCTTTTGTTAGGGACCTGGATGACAAACGGCCAGGCTCCAGTTCCATCCTCTCTACCAGAGTGTGGCCAAATCGTCCTGTAGAGCTCAGCACATCATCCCTGTCACGTTCCACAAGAAGGCGAAATCTGCCACCACGTACCCTGCATCCCATCAACACAAGCCACTCCCGTACTGGAACCCCAGGGTCTGTGGACGATGTCTTCAGGGGAACTCGATTGTATGTTTCAAAACCAGTTTCTCACTGCAAGTTACCATATTTAGAGAACCCAGCTTATACAAAAAGCATTCAGTTGAACAGAAAGAACATGAATTATTTGATTAAAGAAATTAACTGCCCATTAAAGCACAATCTCCCCTGAGAAAGCTGAGTTGCTAAAGTTGATGTTTACTGTGCTACAAGCTGCGATTCAATGAATTGCATCCATATTTAAGTAGTTTTGCACACAAACTATAGACCTCATTCTGTCCAGTACAAGCAAAGCAAGTGCCACCATCTCTTTCTTGACATCCGCTTTCTTTTTCTATAGCCTATTTCCAAGATGAACTTCAAAATCTACAGTTTTTGGAGGTCAAACTGCCTGTTGCTATCCTAGCCCAGACTGGGCTATAAAGGAGGTGCTCATCTTAGATAGGTTATCTGACTGATCAAAGGACTCTTGATGAACTCGGTGAACCCTCAGTCACGTCTAGAATATCTTAGTTTTGTTTGGCGAAATGATCTGACTGAATGTAGTCATTTACAGGGACTACAGGGTATTAGGAAACAATGCAGCGTTTAATATATTTTTATATTCCACATGTGTTGTAAACTGACATAGTTTCCTTTTAGTTTTGCAGTTTACCTATAAACTCACTCAGCCTGTTGTTTTTTGTCATGTGTTTAGAGACTTGTTCCTTGTCCCTTCACAACTGATGTTTCTACTTGCAATATTTTATGCTTCTGTTCCCCTTCCACAGGCTTTGATCAATTTAACAATTGTTAACATCTCCCCTTTATTACCATCTATATTTAAATGTATGTAGAGAGCACTAGGAAAGTCTTTTTAAAAATGCTGGTGATAGTTTGAAGCTTTTCTAATGTATTCTTACAGAACATCCTTCCTTCAGTCAATTCCAGAATGCATAAGGCCTCTTGATCATTTCTAGCACTTCTCAAACATACAATAATATAAAGATACCTTTCATGTCAAAAGGCTTTCATATGAAAAGGCTGTATCTAGAAAACAGATTTCTTATTCTTTTACATTCCTCTTGTGACTAATGTTTAATTTATTTTGTATTTTGTGCAATTAGATTGGTTTAGTTCCCTTTAGAAGGCTTCTAAAAGCCTCTTGCACCTGTTCCTCCAAATACTCAAGCAAAATATGGAGAACGTGGAAGCCTTGTTTTACCCCCAGACGTTTTATTTGACGCTTGTAATAAGTGAAAGAGCTACAATATGCACTTGCATTATGTAGCTTTTATACTTGCTCTGCTTAAAATATGGGCGGCTGCTGTTTTCTAGGCTCATTGTTTATCTTCAGTTGCTAGGCTGAAGTTAGCAGTAAGCAGTACTTCATCCTAAAAGGTATGAGCAAAGAGCAGAAAATGATGCCGTGTCTGGGAACGGGCAGACAAGATTCTACCATTGTATGGTAACTGTCCATGAAGACACCTTTATATATACACACACCTTTATTCTGCAGTACCAGCTGCACAGCACACTCCTTCAAAATGCACTGGACGAGGTGCATTTTAAGCACCAACTAGCTTTTATATACACCCATTACCAGGATTTCTGCTGGGGTACTCATTCTCGGACTCACTTTGCCTATGTGCTTAATATTAAACATTCTGAAAACTGGAAGTTCTTGTTAATAGATGAAAAAGATTTCTGCCAAACTTCACCCACTGCAGAACTCCTCTTTTACATACAGTCTCCAATAGTCAGCCCTAACACCAGCATCTTGTAGCAAAATTCTACAACTGTTGCTCTTAGTTTTAACATTGTTTGTCTACAAAATGCCAAACAAACTGACAATATTGTGTGTATGTTTACACAATGCCAAACATAAACCGTATGTTTTTTTCTGTTCTTATTGGCACATTTCAGTCTGACTGCACATGAGCAGCTGACCTCACCCTCCCCGCTGCTGCTAACCCGAAATAATCTCCTACCACCTATTACTACCACCAGTGTGGCAGAGCACGTGAGCACTGCAGGATCCCCGAGGCAAACGGTAACAGACACAACAATTTTATTATTGGATAGTCTAAAATTGTAATCGCTGCTGATCAAATAACCTAACCCAAGAGTTCTAATTTGTTATCTTGTAAGTGACAGCAGCTGAAATAGATGCATAAAAAATGCCGTATCAGCTTTGACTAACAGCACCACCCATTATTGAATGCCTTAAGTCCAATGAATGCCAGAATTTTTTTCCTCCCCATAATTAGGTGTAGAATGGTTGACTTGGAAAATTAGCTTTAATTCCTAGGGTAATTATTTTAAATGTACTGCTGCAATAAGAAGTAGCCGTAACTATTATTCTTCAATGCAGAAATCTCAAGGGAACTCAAGTCGAGCTCACAGTGTAACAACACAGGAAGATAGCCACCAGCAGCTACAGGAGCGGCTTTTTTTACCTGATCATTTCGCCAGGCCTAACACAACCAACGCATTCTTGGTAAAGCACGGCAAATTATACCAAATCATCCTTAGTTACTCAATAGGGTGCTTTGACAATTAACATAGGTAAACATTACTGGAGAACCAGGTGATCAGCGCCAGGGAGTTCATCAAGTTCGCCACTTGATTAGATACTCACAGGTTAACAGAAACATCGTTGTTTGGCACTTCTGAAACAAACGGGACGAGTCGCTTGTTCAGGGATAACGATCTCGCTATACTCCCCACAGCCAGCTCCTAACCACACCTATGAGCAGCTGGTGGTACACTTTTCTTGAAGAATCGAAGTTTGAGATGCTTGTGGAAAAAACTGTTACTTGAGGTGTAACATTCAATCTAGCATCTTCTGCGAAGGCTTAAGAAGAACCGTGGGGTAGGGAAGGATGCTTTAAAGTTTTGCATAGACATTGGGAAGTCATTCCTACAGCCGTATTCAGAAACGCGAGGGTAGGATAGTCTTCATTGCTTTCTTGCACAAGTTTGCTGTACTATTGATGTCCAGTCTGTTTCAGTATCAAATGCTCTCGGTTTAATTTATTGAAACACCTACTCTACTGATATCTTGTCCTATCTAACAAAGTATTTTTATCTAAGCTTTAAAAGCTATAATTTTAACAATAGCTGCTGGTTTGGTTTCTGTGTATAATTTCAACATCCTTGACTTAGTAGCTGAGTGTACAAACTTTTTAAAATCTATTTTGAAACAGAACAATTTCCAGAAGTACTGACAATGCCTTTAACTGGCCCAGTGATCATTCTAAGAAAGAGTGGAGTGTTATAAAGGTATATTTTCTACTCTATAGGAGTTGAACTTTAGGTTGATTTAACCCTCCTTAAACTTGTAAAAGCTCTACTTAGACCTTTACAACATCTTACGAATTAGGAAATACATATGTTTAAGTAGTTTGTATTACAATCTTGATGTTTGCATGAATTTTTCATGCAAAGATAAATAACTTGAACTGTCTTTTCAGCCGGATCCACAGCACCGCCGTTCTTGCACTGTTATTGATTATAGTAATCAACCTTGGACAAGCAGAGGATCAACAGGTTCAGGTATGCTCATCAGTCATAGAATTTAATAAGATTAAGCAAGAGGTAGGCTTTTGGGACAAGGATGCGTTTCCTACGTAGATAATTACAGTGAGGAGGTTTTTCAAAGTTCTATTTCATGTTTTAAATTTTCCATTATACAAGTTTTATACTTGCATATAGAATACGTTTGGGCATGGCTTATTGTGTTTTGTTTTTTTTTTTTAAAACATTTAAGGAAGCTTAATGTAATCAGCCCCAATGCCCCTCATGTCAAAGTTAAGAGCAGGAGTTACCTATTTAAACAGGAACTAGCAACAAGTACTTTCTGTCCAAGGGTTTTTCTTCTGCTCAGCTATACAACTGAAAGAAATTGCATTATGTCCAAAAGAAACTTATCTGCACTGTATCTGGAAGAGATTGTACTAGAATTGCAACTTAAAAGTATATTTTAAAGCCAGTAGCTGTACCAGTACAATTCACATGTATGCTCTGAAATCAGAGTATGCTTGTACAGTTTATTTGTAACAATTAGATTAACTTTATGGAGCTACGTGACATAACCTAAAATGAATCTCACCTAAAATTACTTACTTTCAATTGGTCAAAGTATCAAGGCAGCAGGAAGGCATTTTTGTTGTGAATATAATGCATACTCCTCCCTCCAGTTTCCCTTCCTTCACTGCAAAGTCATCTCCCTAAATTTTTTATGGTTAATACACTGTGAAAGTAGTCTTCATATATGCTTCAAAATAGCTACACAGTCACAACCAGGGTTGAGGTTCTTTTTTAATGGCAGGAAGCTACAAGATTAAGTTGCACATGTGTTACGGTAGATCAATTAACCTTACTTATTTCAACTTCACCTTCAGAGATTTAGGTTTTTCATGGCATACACAAGGTCTACTCTAGTCAGTTGAAGGGGAGTTTGTTCAGAGATTACAGTAGATCAGAAGTTAACTTCTGTGCCCTGGAACAGCTTTTCTGAATGCCGTCTTTATAACTCTCACTTGAGTTCACCTTGAGAACTCCCTGTTAACTTTGTATTGATCCTAAGTATCACCTCCACCTGGGAAGGGTGGCACAGAGCAGGGGATTAGATGCACTTTCTGGGAACTAGGTCTGTCAAGACAAGTTACACTGGATTCCTTTCATCGCAGCGCTTTGGCATTCCTTATGGAGTTGTCAGAACTTCCCACATAAAAATATACTAACAAGATAGGATTGAAGCTGCAAAGGTTAAGGTAGCAAGTACATGGGTGATTATTAGAGGACAGGAGGGGTCTTTTAGCTTGTCTCATAGCCGAATGGCCTACTACCACTAATGTAAGTGGCACCAGAGGCAACTTGAGTTTAACAAAGGCACTAAACTGAAGTAACTTAACTAACTTGTTTTTGAACAAGGAAGGAGCGGTTCCCACTGAAATTAAAATAAATATCTGCTCCCCCCCCAAAAAAAAAAACCCTAGTATCTTTAAATGCAAGATAAGTTTTATGACTGCTGTATTAACAAAAAAAAAATTGAAGTCTGCAGAAGAACTTTGTAGACTTGAATACTTCATGAAATATCAAGGAATACAGTAGTTCCCTGCAATGCAGCAACTATGAAGTACAAACTTTGCCCCTTTTGAAAGGCCAGTCACTTGTCTCAAACTTGCGTAATTTATACATAACGCAGTTGATGATAGCCATGTATTCGAATTAAAAAAAAAACCACAAAAAAAGCATTTCAGTTTTAAGCTAAAGGAGATGTATTTGGTACTTAGTTTTAATACCTTCCAGAAGCCTTAAAGTTTTACATGATCTCTGTTTATTAGGTCTTCAGCTGCATGGTTCTGTGAAAGCCCACAGTCGAAATGGATCAGTCACAAAAAGCAAACAGGGGTTCTAACGTGCCATGAAGAAGTATCCATCCATCTCCAGAGAGTCACGAACCACCTCTCATTCTCAGCAATGTCAACATTGTTTACAGAGAGTTTTCAAACACCCTTCCTTATGAATAATTATTTTTATATAAATCTAAGAAGCAGCTGCCAAAGATTAGAAGGGGTATACTTAAACATTCCATTTTTCTACCAGTAGAAAAAGTTATACTCCAGTGGAAGGGTGAATACGCTCCAGCGGGCAGTAAAGCCTAACACCTAGAAAATCTAGCAAATGCTCTCAGTCATTGCTGTTTTCCCATTACGGGCTTGTTACTGGTTCATGTTGTTACAGACAGCTACTGCAGAACCTGCTGGTTTTCCTGTTGGCTCTACAGAAGATTAATCAGGTTTTCCATAGCAGTAGTAATTTAAATTTTTAAAGCTATATTTATATGTTTAAAGCAATATTATACTATCAAAAGCAAGCACTGCACGTGATACTGCTTCTACAACTCAGCTTAGACAAGTTATGAATCTTGTAGTAATTGCAGCAGATATTAACACAGTTGTGTAAAAATAAGGTTAGCAAACCAGATGAACAGAATTGACAGCTTTAAGGGTAGTACACGGCTGACTCTTCCTGTTTTATACACTTACACGTCTTCCTCAGTGACTGAAGAAGGTCTAACAGGCAAGGAAGTACATTGTCTTCCTGGTGAGATATTTTATGGTAATTTCACAGAATAGGTCAGTCTCCCTTTCTAAAAATACCTGCAATTATACAAGATTTCTGCACTCTGCCACGGAGTTCCACAACCCACAGATGCAACATAGCATGTAGTAGATGTGTTCTGCACCGTGTGACAGACATAGCAGAGCTATTAGCTGTAGTTGCCCTTGTGGCTCCAAATAAAACAAAAACATGAAATACAAGCTTCTCAAAATAAGCAATTAGTTGAAGGTCTTACTCCCAAGCAGTAAGTGCCAGACGACAAGTAAGCGTAAAGACAAGGTGAGGATAACCACTTACTGTATTTTAACAAAGTTAGGACACTGCACGAAAACAATCCGGTTAAATCCAATTAAAAAGCGCTTTTTTCTAAATTTCCTTATTAATATTTTTCAAATTACAACTCATAATGGAAAAAACTTGTCAGTATTCTTTATGAAGTGGCTCCCCTATTTCCCCACTCTAAGTTATGCAATCTATCAAATGTTAGTGGTACCTTACAGAACAGCTAATAATTTTTAATCAATATTGAAATTCTTGAGTCCAGTTGATCCAAGCATGCTCTAATCAAAAAGAAGGGAAAAGAAAGCAAAGCAGAACTGTGCAAGTGTAACTGGGTTAACTCCTTTGCATTTCTAGAAGGGAAAAAAGGCTCTGGGCTCAATCTAAGTCTCTTAAGTTTGCATAGAGATAAATTGATGATGAAGAGAGGCTTCTATTCACTAAACCCTTTCAAAATACAATTTCTCTTAACAGTTAAGACTACTGGAACATTGTACAGTGTGTCATTTATTTATCTCAAGCTAACTGGAGATAAGCATCCCATTTACATCAGTGCCATTCCTCAGGGACCAAGTTAGTGTTCTGTAGCCCTAGTGCATAAAGAGTTACAAAACATACACAAATAAACTTGAATAGACTTCTAGTGACATAACGTAGTATTTTATAGCCTGGAGGAGTCAGTGTGTTAAAGTGAAAGCAGTCTCATCATAAGGTAATTTTTGGTTTCTGTACAAATGGTTGACACCAGGGACTTCTCCCGGGCTGTTAGATATCTATCTTCTGTAGTAAAAGTAACGTTCAAGTCACATGTTACGCAACATCACATAATGATATGCTGTACTCTCAGAATCGGGATGATTTTTGAAAGCAGCCAAGTAAAAGGGAACAGAGTTACCATTCTACCTCTAGCTTCCCCCCAGGAAGCCCTATTAAATAATCAGTTCCCAAATGCTATCACTGAAGCGATGAGGACCTTCAGCTCAAAAGTAAGTGTTCACCTTGTGGCTCATAAGCCTTTGAAAAATGATCCACAAAATAAAGTCAGCCTTGTTCCTTCGAGCTATAGTAAGTGGAAAACTAGTTACCCTTCAAATTCATACCCCTGCACACTATGTCAAGTGCTTTAAAAACAGCTGAAGCAAAAACCTTGGAAGTATTTGCACATCTTACAGAAGTAATTCACTTCTGAAATAACAGAAGTGTTGACAAACACGATGAAGCAGCTAATCACTACCATCCTACAGCAGACGTGACTGTGGTGCTATTGAAATAACATGCAACATTTCTAAGCTTTGGAACTCCTTGTCAGGGGACATCACGAATCCCAGAAATACACAGAACCGACTCTGTTCTGTGGCTTTTTAAGTTTATTACCTCACTTCAGTGTGTTAGAGAATTTCTGCATAGTCATGTACGTGCTGCAGTCTCGTATTCTTCCCACGGCATCTGCCGCAGGCAATCAAAGACCAAACACTAGGTGGCCCTCTCATCTAATGTAGCATCACCAGCACTGACGCCAGTTAACAATAGAGCCATGTTTTCAGCTGCCACAGAAGTATGTAGTACTCACTTTAAATCGGTGAGAAGAGTCAACACGATCGGTTTGTTTTGAATGGCTACTTAGAAAACGTAGAGGGCTAGGGAAGCAACATAGCACAGAATTCTGCAAAAACTTCATTTATTAAATCTGCAATTTTCCAAAGTATCTTTGTAAAACCAATGGAATATCTGAAAAACAGCTGTTGAGCTGAAGCGCAGAGACCTTTAAAAACAGCAGAAGGTTTGTTACAAAAGAAATGTGTGAATAGCAAAAATAGAAGGTTTCCAGCTCAGAAACCCCAGGAATCAGCATTGAAGACTCTCAAAGGTGTGGGATTACATTGTTTTACCATCAGCTGTACCAATATCCATTAGGTGTTTGGAAGGAAGGTGCTTCAACACAAGTTTAATAAGCACACGGTCATCCAAACATCACACGGCTTCCTTACTGTAACAAAACTTTTAGTCAAGAATCTGTTTGATCTTAACTGAAGAGCACCCAAAGGATTTTGAACAGTAGCACCAGACTGCTTTGTCTTTCTTGTTCACGATGCGTTCTGTATCATACCTCCCAGTCACAGCAAGTTGACACGCACACACTCTGAAACGGTAGTCCAGAAAAATGGAAATTCTCCCAAATCCACATGTTCCCATACAAAATTATACCCGTTATTTTAGCCTACGCAGTTCTTTATTTCTTTCCTTTCTTGGCTGCAGTCTTCTTTCCTCCTTTTTTAGCGTTATTCCCGTATTTTGCTTCCAGTTGGGCCAAAAAGTCATCCATTTCCTTTTTTCGATCTTTATTTCTGCTCTGGGAGAGGGGAAACAAACCCAAAACTTTTACTACTTCCTAATACAGATTGCTGTATTGAAGTTAGATAGCTACATAAAATCTCAGAATAGATTAAAGAGGGAATACAAGCTACAGGAGGTATAGTACTGTCAAGCAGAAGCCTACTTGTATACTCTAGGCTCTATACCTAACTTCCATAAGTATCAAGACAGAGGTGAAGAGTGGCTATCAAAAACATCACGACATAAGGCTAGGAAAAGCAAAGCAATTTCTAGTTTAGACCCAAAACTCTATTACAATTTGAGGAATGATTAAGCATGAACATTCTAGGAAGCCCACTGGACAATAAGAAAGAAGAAACAAAACATTCCGAAAAACGGAACGTAAACAGTATGTTTCTTTCCTCAATCCCCAAGATAAAAAAGCAAAATAGTAAGACCTATCAACTTCTACACCCTCGTGGAATCCCTTGTGGAATCCCTCAGAAAGAAAGAATCATTAACACTCCCTGTCTAACTGCCTAAAACTAGAAGTTAAATATTTTGATTGTGTATGCAGTAAGGATAAACATATTAGAATAACTTTGTTAATTTTTAAAAAGACACAGGTAATAAAATCCATACCATACTCCGACTATTAAAGTACATAGATAGTTAACATTAAGGTCAGATTTTAACCTCGGGAACTCAGAATGAGTTGCAAATACAAAAACGCTCAGGGAACACACAATTATAAGCCAGTAACGTAATTATCTTCAACAGATACAAAAAGCCTTACCTGAATGAGTGCTTTCAAGTCATCTTCTCCACCAAGGCCCAGTTCATCTTTAGTCTTTTCTGCCTCTCTAGCTTCTTTTTCTGCCTAAAATAGCAACCTAGTTTTTTAAAAAGTATTTTGCACCTTATTTGACAAAGTCTTATAGTAGTTACCAAACACTTTATTTTGCATCTGTATATAAATAGCTGCAAGGAAACACGAACGGTTTCCAAGTTTGGCCACAGATGAGAGATCAAAGAGAAAGCCCGTTCTGGTTCTGCGATTTAGTAGAGCGGGGCAGTTTTTTGCTGTTTCACAATGCCGAACGTGGTGAGATGTCCATCCCCATCCCTGTTCCCCACACCCACACTTTCTTTTGTCTTAGCGGCTATTACATTTTCTTACATTAGAGAAAGGTGACTGTGATGTGCATGTAACATATTCTACAAAGTGTCCAAGAAAACCCCCAAAAACCCCAAAAAAACCAACCAGGTTGGAGAAAAGGTCCATTTAGTCCAGAATGTTATTTCACACTTGCCAAAAGGCAAGCATAATATATTTCCACCCCACGTACACTTCTTAACTCCAGCAACTCATGGCTTTGTAAATAAGTGCAGGGACATGCTAAACTGTAATAAGCCATTGTGTATAATAACGAAATAAAAGAAAGAAGTAATAGGCAACAGTCTGTTACACTCAAAAGCCCTTCACAACAATTTGGGGGGGGGGGGTGTGGAGAACCCG